GTATGTTCTAACGAGACGTGATAAAGTGCATGCGTACCGAGCGAAAATTCAAAGTCGATTTTCTCGAAAACAAAGCCTCAAACGAAAAATTGTTATTCTATATTTTCGACTTCTTTTTTCGCGTAGAATCACCCCCTTTCCGCTTGTACCACCAGTTATCAACCGCCCTATATATGGAATAATAGTTAAAAGAACAGAAAAGGACTTTTAGAATATAAAACTTACACGGGAACCCTGGTGACTGATACACGCGGAGTTGGATGAAATTTTGTACAGGTGTTCATACAAAAATTTGACCGTAAATCGTTCGTGCCTGTTTTTTATTTTAAAATAGAAATCAAGCCTTTTAACCGAGCCGATTCTTTTATGCAAGTATGCTAATAAATCGTGAAAGACAAAAGACATCAAAAAGTTATACCATGTCTTGAGATCTATAAAACTGTGCGAAAATTTTTCTGAAAAGAAGTCTCGTTTTTATATAATTTCCGAAGAACGGTGAATTTTTCAAAACAATTTTCGCACACATAACACGATATAACTTCTATTTCATCCATTTTTGATATCTTGTTGCGTTTATGATTTATATCCACACACATTAAAGAAAAAAAGACAGGTACGAACGAATTACGTCTAAATTCTTAAGTAAGTCTAACGAAACACTTGCGCAAAATCTTAATCAGATCAGCGTGTATCAGTCAATTCCTTTGTTAATGACACTTAAGCACTGATCGAGATAATAAAAAACTAAGAAAAATTAGTGCAACTATTATTTTATACTATAAAACAGCTTAACTAAAATACTCGAAAGATCCAGAGAATCAAATGATTTGCATCTGCCGCGTTTAAACAGATAACTTTCTACGTCTTAAACTCGACGATATGTTCGCAACATCTATTACGAATCTTCTACACGTGCGTAAGGATAACTATACTCTGCGTAGCTCGGCGACAGATCGATAGGCTATTTTTTCACCTTTGAAACCAGATGTATTTATAATGAGTGAGCCTTGAACCCGCTCGTAAACATAGTACGTACGACTTCGTTGCTAACTAATAATCACTAAGCGGCCCGCGGACGAGCATTATTATGCACCGTTTAGATTTTATTAATTACCGTTGTTTCGCGTCACGTCTAAAAATAAACGGTGGCCGCTTACATTCGAACGTTTACCTTCGAAAAAAGCAAAACGTTTCGACGTATTTCGATCGGCGATTAACGATTCGAGCGTGTCGATAATTTTTCACAAATTTTTTACTCCTTTTATCACAATCGAAATGCTATCTATGATCGTCATCGATGTACTTGAAACAATCTCAAGCCATGTGAACGTCAGAATCACTGTAACCGATGTTATCGTTTCGCTATTTTTGCGAAATTGAAACCGATAGCAGCTATTTTTCCGCGAGATTTGAAAGAAAAATTTTTATCATCGCGTCGATGAACTACCGATGGGATAGATAGATATGGAACAAAAATGTCATAATTCGTGGATAGAATGTATACGTACAAAAGAAATAATAGCGGCTAATAGAAGAATCTTAACTAGAAGGTCGTCGAATTGCTCCAACACGAGTTGCCATATGGACTTTCCTGAAATTGCCAAAAGTATATTAAATTTTTATCGTTCTTCCATATTCCTGCGGATAAAATATCTTCACACACAGGACGATCGTCTCGGTAAATAGATCCAACGTTTATGATTCGATTCGTTAGTATAAAAATAGGAGCTTCTGGATGGAAGGAACAAATTGGCATATTTTTTTTAAACATTTCTTCTCTTTTTGAACGACACTGATTGTAGTTTAATTTCCAGAAGGAAAATGGTTTATTCGTTAGAGAAATGATATCAGTATCATTTTGGAGAATCGATGGATGTACGTAAGAAGACACTCAACCACCGAGTTGATATCATCGAATCGCGGTATCTTAGAAAAATCCATCAAATTTTCCTACATAACGTACGACCAAGAGTAACATAGGTTTTATCAAACGATAGCAAATAATCAGCGGCAACAATAGTATTAAATATTTCGATTTAACGTAAAAAAGGAAAAAGATATTGTCATTGGGGAAAAAAAGAAATGGTAACTTTCCAAGCTAAGTACTTCGATGCCACTGTCAATAAAATCCTACGTCGATTGTCATTCCCAAAAAGGAAATCAAAATCTTCGTATATGTGTCATTGAGGGAAAAAGGTTCAATTGCAAAATGTATTGAAACAACAGGTACAATTGCGATCGTCAAGGGAAAACCTATCGCGATCTGTTGGCTTCGTGATCTATCTTCTATGGATAAATGTGGAAAAAGGGAGAAAAGGAGAGAGAGAGAGAGAGAGAGAGAGAGGAAAAAGATGGCAGAACCGAGAGTAATCGGGAGCAGACTATGGTGTCCTTGATAGCAAGTGCCTTTTGCCAGCATACGATTGACGTCATGTCGCTTCAACGTGCTGTACGATCGACGATTTCATTAATTGTAATCTACGAGCAAAGACAAGTGAAAATCAGATTGCCGAGCAATTATAGGAACGCGTTTCTACCTCGTCATCCGTGTCTCCCGCGCTTTTCGATCCTCTTCCTCCGCCAGAAGCACTTTTAACGTTCACTTTTTGCACTCCAATTTCGTTAAAATTTTTGAATTTTCCCCCTTTCCTTTTTTAATTTTTTTATAAAATAGCTTCGTGCCGGAGTAATGCACTTTACGTCTCTATCATGGTCGGTAATCTTCTATGGTTACAATTTTGAGTATAAAATATTTTGTAAAGTTGTATCTTGCGCGACAAATTATAGTTTCAGATCTAATTTCTCGATATTATACAGAGAAGACTTGAAAGGTAAAAGATATTGCCGAAATTATTCTATAAAACCATTCTTCGAATTATATATGTAAATTTTTAGAATTTACTTAAATGAAAACGCTTGCAGAGTAGTACGTGCTTCCAAAAGCGCGAAACAGCTTGACACGTTTAAGATAAACGAACCAGAGCACGGACATTGTCTATCCGATTTTCAGATATAACACGGAAAAAGCTTCAAAGGCTTGAAATACGTAATTCATTTTTCAGTACGAGAGAAAGAAAAATAGGACGAAAGCGATTGAAAGTTGAAAAGTTCGTATGGCGTTGGCAATCAAGGTGACTCTTTCGAACGCGATTCCACGACGATAATGTCATCCGAGTACTTTTTGACGTCTCTTGTGCAAGCATCAGTTTCATCACCGTATTTGTCCGCGCAATACGGATATTGTTAGTCGATCGGTGACGTTCGGACAGAGAACGAGCAACGAACGAAGACGAGAAAGAGAAAAGAGAGACAGGCCACGGCGAGATCGCGGCCGGTGTCGTTAAATTGTGAAAGAAATCGCATTAACGCGGCCACGATTAACAAATCTACGTCAATACAATTTTTAGTGAAGAATGTTATGATGCGAAATTAACAGCAACGGAAGCGCGTGATTACGCGAAGCGGAGAGCTCGACGTAACTTGGACACGTCGATTTTCAATAGCCGATTCTTCGTTCGAGAAAGCCGATGATGACTCGCCGAAAAGGCAACGATTTACCGGTAATTTGCTGGCGCGGAAATGCAGGGATTGGAAATCGAGAATTCCAATTTCCAACTTCTGGATTCGCATTTACGGACCGGGAGAAACTGAAGCGTTAAGGGACGAGTTTCACATAATTCTAAAGTTAAATCGAGTTACGAGGTCTCTTTTACGAGTATCTCTCTACGTCGTTCGTTTCTGTTATGCTCTCTCGGGTGATATAAAATATTCTTCGAACAAATATCGTTGCTTTGCGGAAAAATCGGTTGAACACTTCGACAGAGACGACGGTCATCGGTGTGACTCACGCTACTAAATTTTTTAGAACGATTAAAGTAAGATAAATGCCATTGACTAATCAATTTTCAACAATGCGAATGGCTTTGATAATATCGTCGCAAAAAACAAGATCGTAAATACGATGTAGGTATAACAGTTGGCAGAAATTAAACGCCATGGCGTACTATACATTTTGATCTATTGCCAGAAGAAAATGTATCGGATTCGCGTGACAGTCGACGTGTCAACGTGTGACGTGGATCATACAACGTGAAGAAGTGGATCTGATTAGAAAAGCAACGTAATGATTCAAGGTAGAAAGAAACGTATATCGTTTCGCGAGAAAAGTTTATAACGTCTCGTTGTTCTCTCTGACTAAACGTTAAACTGCATAGAGGAACACGAGACTCGTGGTGACGGATCGCGTGCCACTCTCTTCAATTACCAATAGTTATACTTGGTGTCGCGATTTTATGGACGCAAAGGAAATATAAAGCTCTTGCTGCTTGAAAATGTTGTTTGTCTTAGAAACGTTGAACGAGTCTCGCATTTATTTGAATACCAAATTCGAAATTTTAATATCGTATAAAATTCAAGCGAAAACTTCTTCGAAATTAGAATATTGTATTCAATTTCAGTGAAACTTTATTCCAAACTATACTTTTCCCTCGAACACCTTCGTTCCGGAATATCTTTATGGTCGATTCAACCTATATGCTGGAAAATGGCTAGAGAATTCAACACTCCTCGACTTTCATCATAGCCAATATTCCATTTAAGATAACTTCATAGCTGCGTCGTATTTCAAACTAACGTTTCCAAAGTACTAAAAGATTCAACGCCGATCGTTCGTTTCGAGTAACAGTCCACAGCCAATTTTAAGTCGATCCAGTCAATCTAACTCCAGCTGAAACAACATAATAGCTATATTCCACAAGGCAAATAAATATTTCGAAAATACTAAGAGATATGTTCCCTCGATGTTCGTTCTAGCAGTAAGTTCCATGATCAATTGCACAGCAATATTCAATCGACGTTGTAAAACTATTAAAAAAATCATTCGCTTCTCCATCTTTATTCCAACAACTGTTTCATTCAAACCAACTTCCTGCCTGCTCCATAACACAAAAGAACGTTGCAAAAATACTAAAAAAAAAAAAAAAAAAATCCTGTGTTCGATTCTCATGCCAAGTTCCACGGCTAATTTCAAAGCAATCCAACTTCCCATTCCATGATTCCTCGGCTCACACCTGATAAATCCAACCGTAATTCAAACCATCGTTGGCAATCGTCCTATTCTTCCGACTAGAAAGCAAGAAAACGAGTGGATCCTAACGATGTGGAAGATCGACTTCAAAGAAGGTGATGGGATACCACCTTATGATCCAGCGTAACGTTGACTCGCAATTAAATGGCTACAGACGTAACCGACGTTCGCGTTTATTCCCTTCAGCTTCTCCTCTTTCTATGCTATGTACACGACCACGTGCACGCGTGAAACGATAATGCAATGTAGACAGGCCTGGCCTGCTTTGATAATGACGCCAACTATCATCCACGGCATCTGCCTTCGCATCCAGACACAGCTCGCTGGCCTAAGTGCTCGATATTGCCGCGTTCCGCATTTCCCAAGGCATCTCGCGTCTTTGAACACCTCCGATCGACCAACTCCTTTGACGTCGTTTACAGCTGTGAGCTTCTTGATCGATTTAAGCGCCGTAATAACGAGGATCGAGTACGATAACGGGAAAATTGCAGCGTCCCACTGGTTGCTGCATTTTCGGCGAGAATTTCGAACTTCCTCCGACGAGCAAGACGATCGATCATGCTAGAAACATTGGATATGAAATGATTGGAATTCATTTATCCGAACACCGGTTATTAAACCGAAATTTTACAATCTACTTATTTCATATGGAGCAGGATCAATCATGCGATAAAGACGAACGTAAAGTACAGTGGAACTCAGTTTATTCAAACTTGAGTTATTGAAACGAGAATGTGATTTAGAATCTGATTCGAGGCGAGCTCATCGAATTTGCACTTATCCGAATGAAAATCTAAAATACGTACTTCGAACGTGATTCCTCGTTATGGGAATCGAAACTATTTAGTAAGCTCGTAGCGTGAAGAAATTGGTGAACTAGCCTGCAACAACTATTATACGAACTCTTTGCGAACTTTCGCTTGGTTCAGGTAAATGGATTTCCACTGTATTCAAGCGAACTCTGCAACGAAATATATACGAAACATGTAAGAAGTATCAAGGACGCGTTCTATTCTACCGAAGTTTTGATCTTCGTTCCATGCGATAAAATTGATTCCAGTCGACCTGAAGAACAAAAGGATTGGCTTATGCAACTACTAGTACTAAATTCCCGATAGAAAAATCAACCGCAAAGAGACGATCTTCTTCTCCGATCTAAAGGAACGTCGCTTCGAAGTCGCGTTAGATGCGCTTTCCAAGTTAAACTGCTTAACTGGTGCCTCTTACACAAGGAGAAGCGAGGATAAAAAGAAACAGTCGGAACGAAACCGATATCTCGTTCTCTGCATCGAAATTACTCGAAAACCCCTCGAGACAGCTTAAGAACAAAACCGTGGAACTGGACTAATTGGATGAACCGCGGCGCATTTCACGAAATTTATCATTTTAAAAATAGTTAGCGGCTCTAAGGCTAACGATAAGAAGAAAGTGGATCGCCGAATGGCTTTTGAGGCGCGACCACGTACAAGTGCGTCTATTTTTAAAGGGTCAAAAGGTACTACGAGTTACGCGGTAAATACGTAAACAAAGAGGAGAAAGAAGCCTCGATTTTACATGATCTGAAACCTGTGGGAGAACCTATGACTGCCAGGGGTCTGGCATTGGACGAGTCGCGACTGTGTTTCCACGTCGTGCGATCTGTAAAGCGATCAACGACGCAAGGAATATTTTCTCGCTCGAAAAGAACATTGGTAATGACGTCGAGCGCGTGTCATCGAGTGTCTTGAGATAAGCCTCGTCTTACGCGATGTCCAAGGAACGAACGCCAAAACATGGTCGCTATAAAAGAATATCGTCACATAACGTTATTTTCCGATCAAGCGTCTTTTTATCTGGTTCTACGTTTCGTTCTAGCGGTATCGAGCTTTGAACTTAACACAGTAAACTGAGATTAGATCAATACGTTTGGACTTGGTCATTAAATATAAATGCTGTGAGAAATACAATGAGGATTTTTCTTGACAAGTGTAAGGGCGTGTGGTATGTAAATGGCGTGTAATTTTATGCTCGAAATTGATTAAATATTAGTTTGATTGCCACCTTTCATCGCACGTTATTTCCTTTTATTTTCGCATACTTTCGTTAACGCGTTATTTCAGCGATTAAATTGGACAAATTGAATGGAAAAATAAATATTTGATTCGACGGACAACACAGTGTATCGATATGCACATTTTATGTGCTGCTGTGTATGTATGTGTCTGCGTCAGTTAATATAAAAGTAATCCGGTAGCGATTATAAAAGCGATAAAGAAGTAAAGAAATGCACAAGTGCTTGAGTTCTTGAATAAAGATACTTATTTAAAATACATATCTGATTTCTTTATCATCATCATCATTTTTACCAGCTTGTCGCAAAGTATCCTACCATTATCTGGAAATACGATGTTTACACCGTGATACTCTACAGATAGCATCAATGCCAATTTGTTATCCAAACAGCTTACCGTATCGATCGTCACAGAGGGAAGAAACCTTTCGCTGGGAAAAACTTACCCTCCTCGGCTGGCAATTCTGAAACAGACAAGATGTAACGCAAATAAATAACCGATTCAAACTGGATGATTCCTAGTTTTATAAGCTTTTTTATATGTTTCATTTTTAGATTTATTAGATTTATAAATACCGTCGTGCAAATTCATTTTTTTTTTTTTTACGAATACAACTAAAGCAATAAGACCTAGGCAAAGACGTCTGTTTAACGTTATAATTATAACGATAAATACTATACTTTAGATAACATATTTTTTAAACATCACGCATGTTCTATGAACTTTTACGTCTTCAAATGTTCCATAAATATCTTCTATAAATTTTCTATAAACTTCTCGCAAGCGTATCTACAATCAGTAAGAATCAATCGCTGAAAGGAATGATTCGTGGGTAAACAAATGACCATGTCGAAGATGTAGACAATGCAGGCGACAAATTAACCCCATGTTTGCCCCAAGTTAATTGGTTAAAAAGCCGGATAGACGATTGGTACGTGCAATCTGAAAGTCGCCTAAGTCGCAGTAGCTCGCAGCATCTCCTTTAAGGTGGCCTACTTCGAATTTCCGAAGCATCGTTCGCGTTACCGGCATCGCAAACAACGTTTTCCTGGTCGATAATAAACGCCCTTACACGGTGACGGCTCATCGACGCGTGTCTCCGTGACAACCGATAAAATGCTGGCCGCAAGGGCAGAAATATGCAAAACCATTCGTCCGCTCTTCCAAACGAGACTTTTCAAACGAAGAAACCAGGCGAGTACCGGTTGAAGTCCTGCGGATCAACGCCATTAATATGACACGCGCTGCATTTGACATAATTCGGCAGCCGGCAAGGTGCCCGTCGTATCGTGTGTTTGACAGATTTACACACGAAATACAGGGATGCTGAGCGTCCTTATCTCGTTAGAATCAATCGTCATTCGCGAGATTTGATTTGTCGTATCGAGAAAATATCGTTTCCACCAAATAAATTTTGAACAGCGCCGGTTCGTTCGAAATATCATACGTTCGCGAGAGTAACGTCCCAACGATTAACTGGTTTCATTATTTTACGTTTCTAAAAGAATTCTTGGAGCTTGTGCGTGTATCGTAAAAATAATTAAATGAACGGTGTACTATTAAGATAATTTTAACGAATTAGTTCCTTCATAGTTTGAAAGAGAAGAATAAATTTAGCTGGCAAGTACTTTTAATTTAGAGACTCTGTTAAAATAATTTATGTATTGAAAATTGTGCAGGCAGGACATACAGAATGCCTTTGATCTTCTGAAACGTCGGATTTATATTTGGTAACTTTGATGCCATCTCTTTTAAATCGAAACTATTCTAAGCAGCAACGTCCCATACGCATTAATCTAATATATTTACGAGCAATCTTATTCTTCAGGAAAGTTTCAAAACTCTGTTCACGTATCTCTTCGATGATATTTACTTTCCCCCTAATTTCCCGCTCCTACGATCTATTTAAACAAGGAACTGATGCTGCGTGCTTTCTAAATAATTAATTTCGTAATGAATTTTATAGGAAAGAAGAAAGTTTGTAAATTTCATTTACGTCCACTTTTCACTAACTTCTGCTTGACCAAGTTAATATAAATGAAATGAAACTGTAGGATAGGGAACCAGTTTGAAAAGTAAACCAAAGGAAAACCCGATTATCCGGTGCAATTTCTGTCTCAGACCCCAAGCATTTCAGATTCTATCGCTTTTCGGCTGAATTCCCCGGGAAACGCGCCGGTAGATAGAGGCACACCCTCTCGTTTCCTATCGATTGTAAGGGCAGAAAACTGTTCTTTCGGGATACTTCGTGTGGGAACCGTACACTCGATGCTTTCCATTTTAACGGGGGAGCTTTGGAAGCGCAACTATATCGCTCAAGCTGGAAGGAAGATTATGTAAATTTGGTAATCTTACTTTCTTACACGGAACAACGGTATATTCTCGTCTTTCGTTAATAATAAGGTAATCGTAGTTGATGTGAACATAAATCTACATAGAATCTACACAGAAAAGCAAATCTTATATTCTTCTGCTATATTCGCCTCCTTCTTTAAATCTTCGACACTTGAAAACTCTACGAGCGATTGATTTCTCCTGGTTAGTCTAAATATGCCACTTGTGTCTTCGGAAGGTTGCAAGACTCTTCCTACTTGTTCTGTAATTTTTTTCCAGGTAACGCTGATTATTTTTAACGTTATCTGTTTACCTGGATAGCTGGAAAGTAAAAACTACAAGAGAAGAACGTGATAAGCAATTTTAAAATTAGTTCGCGCGTAAGGTTCGATATTTTCTTTTGCATTTGACCGAAATTTCCAAAAAAAAACGTCGATTGTCACGATGTTGTACGCGCGTCTTTGGTTGTTTGCAAAATTTGTACAATATTATTCTAGAAATGGATCACAAGGAAGAAATTCGTTCGTATCTTAAAGTTCCAAAGGATTAAAATAAGAAGCAGATAAGAACTGAAAAGCTAGTAACATACGTCGGAGCGAAGAAGAGCACAGAGAGCGTTTGTATTAATCACGACGCATCAGCTAATGCATTATCGATAGGGATCGATGATTTCTCGAGAGATCGACACACGATACTTAAAATAACCCGAAAACCTTCGAAGCATTCGCACTACACAACATCGCTGTCGTAGAATTCGATGCTCGCGGTGCTAATGGATCGAATGTTTCGATGCATCAGCCGATTACGCAAGTTACGCGCTCGTGGATTGTTTATGCAAACGTTCTTCCCGAGCCCCTGAATCATCGAGCCTCTACAGTCGACCATCAAGACGAATTATGTAGATCCACGTACACTATCTGCCATAAGTATCAAGTATCAGGACACGATATGATATTCGATAAAAATTGAATGCTCTTCGCCGCTTTTATTTTCTAACTTTTTTACTTTAAAAATGTGCTATCTTTTCCTAGATAGAAGATTTTTACGATTCCTAGTGTTTCCTACCTTCCGCGAGGAAAATAATTAAAAGAAGAATATTTTCTTACTCTCAGATCTCTTCTTTGAGAAATGGCTAAAATACGCGTTAGGTCGTTGAAAAAATATTAACGAAAACGTCGCCAGGAAAGGACTCCCTCCTTCTCCATACGTTCGTCGATTTTTCGTCGAACGTGTCAGGATAAAATTTATCAGTGTCCTTCGATAAATGTAACGAGAAAATGTCTTTGTTCCTCGTACTTACAACGTGTGTAGTATACTTGGCTCGCGAAAGTATTCCACTGTGTTGAGAGATACTCCAACAATTACCATAGGAAATTATTACGAATACGTGGTGCAGTTTGTAGGAAATATTTGAGATTTCATTGGTACCGACACGAGACGCGACTATCGTGTTTACATTGGTAAAATGTTGAGAATTCGTCGAAAGGAAAATAAATCGCGGATTGAATGGGAACAGAGGTGTTTCTCGCATCGAGTGAAAGCGAGAGCCGAAACACGAGAAGTGGAACGTGCATGTTACGAATTTTCGTACGAGGAAATGGCGCGAAGCCAAGAGAGGTCGGGGTTGTTTGGATTTTGCGGATGACAGGCTCGAGGGGATTGAATTTGTGGCAATTGGCCCGGGTTTTCAGGGAAGATAAGCGGTTAGATGGTTTTCAACGGTTCAATAGCAATTTCCACGGCCAAATGATTAATTCAGACATCTTCTTACATTTCCCATTGTTTCTTTAACTATCGTAGAGGCTAATAACATACACGCGAATAGTAACATCTCGTTCGGCTCACCAAGTTCGATGCAATGAAATAAACTTCGTATATTTTTCAACGTTTACCTGCTGACATACAGTGAAAACGCAGCCAGTTCTCGCAAGTGGAACAAACCAGATTATCGTTGTAAGAATTCAATGTAAGCGCATGTGCGTGTACTCACATACACGCGTATAGAAATGCCGTATGAAGGCAATTTACAATTCTGAAAGCAGAAACTTGTTTTCTTCGGCGTCTCATATTTCAACAAAGAATGCATAAAAGTGTCATTCTCATTCGCTGTTGCATCGAACACGACGAAGAGTATCGGAAAGAGATCATAGTCTTTTTTCAACAACGCCACCGTTTATTTTCATTAAAAATTTACTCCGCGTATCTTCTCAGCTTCTTTTTTTTCTGTCTAGTTTATTTTCTATTAGACGAGTAGACATCGTACGCTAGGATTTCGTAATTTCAAGCTCTTCCGAGTCGCGCCAATTGGCATTCGAACACGGTCGATTCGATATTGGATTATTCGAGCGTTTAGCGGCTTTCACACGCGCGAATTACGCCTCGCGGTTTCCGCCGCGGTGAACTAACGTATCTATGTACGAACCACAACGCAATATTGTACGATATTCGCTGTAAAAACAAACCAATTAACCTGTATTCTACCTCCTGAACCAACCAACTATCCTTGACCGAACTTTGATCGAATTGAAATTCAATTCTATTTACATGCTGTTCTACGCGGTAGTCCGTGTTTCTTTCACACCGTATATAGAATACTAATTTTCACAGTAGTAACAATAATAAAATAATAATTCAGCCGTAGTTCGATGCATTAGCGAATCTTCAACCGTGAAGCGTACCTTGAGAAACATCTCAAGTTTAAAACAGTTTATGCTCCTATGAGATTAGGAATTTTGAATTAAACAAAACGCAAGATCTTGCACTCTCCTCGCGAGACCAAGCAAAAGCTTGTTATTATGGATTTACTATTTAGGTGTTACAGTATAGGAGTCTCTCGGGGACCCAAGCCGCCCCTAGCACCATATGTTTGTTCCATTTAATTCTTATGATAATATGGGGGAGAGTTGACCCTATTTAACAAGGGTGTCTTTTCATTTGTGACGAACCAGTTTTAGCTACTCGATAGACGAGGGTATTTCGACGTTAACCAACTGTTCGAGACATCTGTACGATTCAGAGTACCTATCCTTAAGATAAATTGCAACAGCGTGTACCTGGAAGCCGTAATCTTTCGTTAAACAATATATTTATACTACCAATTATTACTTCTCGCATCGCAATGGAAAACCA